GGTGGGCACTGGGTCACCACTGTTAGTAGGTGCTGGGTCACCACTGTTGGCAGGCTACTGGGTCACCACTGTTGGCAGGCGCTGGAGTCACCACTGCTTGGTAGGTGCTGGGTCACCACTGTTGTTAGGTGCTGGAGTCCCTGTTGGTAGGTGCTGGGTCACCGCACTGTTGGTGGAGTGCTGGGTCACCACTGTTAGTGGAAGTGCTGGGTCTACCACCTGTTGGTGGTCGCTGGGTCACCACTGTTAGTGGAACTGCTTTCAGGTCTACCACTATTGTGGAGTGCTGGGTCACCACCCCTGTCTCTGTGAGTCACCACTGTTGGTAGGTGCTGGAGTCTACCACTGTTGGTCAGGTGCTGGGTCTACCACTGTTGGTGAGTGCTGGGTCACCTGCTGTTGAGTAGGTGCTGCTGGTAGGTGTAGGTCACCACTGTTGGCATGAGCGCTGGGTCACCACTGTTGGTGAGCACTGGGTCCTGCCACTGTTGGTAGGTGCTGGGTCACCACTGTTTGAGTGAGCACTGGGTCTACTGTTGGCAGGCGCTGGGTCCACCACTGTTGGTAGGTGCTGGGTCACACTGTTGTTAGGTCTTGGGTCACTACACTGTTTGGTAGGTGCTGGGTCACCACTGTTGGTGGTGCTGGGTCTCCTATTTGGCTGATGCTGGGTCACCACTTTCATGTGTGGTGAGTGCTAGGTCTGTGGTCTTTGGGTCTACCACTGTTGGTAGGCGCTGGGTCACCACTGTTGATGGGTGCTGGGTCTGCCTACTGTTAGTGGAGTGCTGGGTCTACTGCTGTCCCATGGTCTTTGATCACCACCACTGTTGAGGTCTGGGTCTACCTGTTGGTGCTGGGTCCCCACTGTTGAAACGCTAGACACTGCCACTGTTGGTGAGCTAAGTTACACTGTTAGTAGGTCTTCAGATCTCACCACTGTTGGTAGGTGCTGGGTCACCACTGTTGGTAGGTGCTGGGTCTACCACTGTTGGTGAGTGCTGAGATTTTCATTTGGTAGGTGCTGGGTCACCACCACTGCTGGTGAGCGCTGGGTCACCACCATTGTGGTTCAGAACCACTGTTGGTAGGTCTGGGTCACTACCACTGTTGAGTGGTCCTAGGTCCCCACTGTTTGAATGATTCTGATTACTGTTGGTAGTGCTGAGTCTCACCACTTTGTTAGTGGAGGTGCTAGGTCCACCTCTGTGTGGTCAGGTGCTGGTCTGCCTGTTTGTGAGTGCTGGGTCACCACTGTTGTTAGGTGCTGAGTCCTGCCTTGCTGGGTCTGGGTCTACACTGTTGGTGAGTGCTGAATTCTTGGCCAGAGTGCTGGTCACCACTGTTAGTGAAACGCTGGGTCACCACTGTTGTAACAGTCCACCACTGTTTAGTAGTGTTGGGTCACCACTGTTGCTTGAGCGCTGGGTGCCTCTGTTGGTAAGTGCTGGGTCACCACTGTTGGTAGGTGCTGGTCACCCTCTGTTGCTGGTAGGTGCTGGGTCTGCCTCCTGTTGGCGTGGTCTGGGTCACCACTGTTGCATTAGGTGCTGGGTCTGCACCACTGTGTTGCGTGGGTGCTGGGTCACCCACTGTTGGTAAGGTGCTGGGTCACCCTCTGTTGGTGAGTGCTGGGTCACCACTGTTGGTGAGTGCTGGGTCACCACTGTTGGTAGGTGCTGGGTCACCACTGTTGGTAGAGTGCTGGGTCTGTTGGTAGGTGCTGGGTCCACCACTGTTGGTAGGTGCTGGGTCCTGCCTGTTGTTAGGTGCTGGGTCACCTCTCTGTTGCAGTAGGTGCTGGGTCCTGCCACTGTTGGTGGGTGCTGGGTCACCACTGTTGGTGAGTGCTGGGTCACCACCACTGTTGTGGTGCTGGGTCTACCTCTGTTTGGTAGGTGCTGGGTCACCACTGTTGGTAGGTGCTGGGTCACCACTGTTGGTAGGTGCTGGGTCACCACTGTTGAGTGGAGTGCTGGGTCCTGCCTCTGTTGGTGAGTGCTGGAGGTCACCATTGTTGGGTAGTGCTGGGTCACCACTGTTGGTAGGTGTAGGTCTACTGTTGGTAGGTCTTTGGGTCCTGGGTCACCTCTGTTGGTGAGTGCTGGGTCACCACTGTTGGTGGAGTGCTGGGTCACCACTGCTACAGTGGGTCTGAATCTTCTTTCTTCGTGAGTGCTGGGTCACACCACTGTTGGTGGGTGCTGGGTCACCACTGTTGGTGGAGTGCTGGGTCACCTCTGTTGGTGGTCTGGGTCACCACTGTTGATGAGTGCTGGGTCACACTGTTGTGAGTGTAGGTCACCACTTTGGTGGAGTGCTGGGTCACCTCTGTTTGGTAGGTGCTGGGTCACCTGTTGGCATTGGAGTGCTGGGTCACCACTGTTGTGAGCGCTGGGTCACCTCTGTTGGTGGGTGCTGGGTCACCACTGTTGGTGGGTGCTGGTGCCACTGTTGGTAGGTGCTGGGTCCTCACCACTGTTGGTGGTGCTGGGTCACCACTGTTGGTAGGTGCTGGAGGTCACCACTGTTTGGTAGGTGCTGGGTCTGCCACTGTTGGTAGGTGCTGGAGTCACCACTGTTGGTAGGTGCTGGGTCACCTCTGTTGGTGAGTGCTGGGTCTGTTGTTGAGTGCTGGTCACCCTCTGTTTGGTAGGTGCTGGTCCTGCCACCTGTTGGTGAGTGCTGGGTCACCACTGTTGGCGGTAGGTGCTGGGTCTGCCTCTGTTGGTGAGTGCTGGGTCACCACTGTTGGTAGAGTGCTGGGTCACCACTGTTGGTGGCGCTGGGTCCCTCTGCTAGTGGTGCTGGGTCTCCTGCCACTGTTGGTGGTGCTGGGTCACCTGTTGTGGTAGGTGCTGGGTCTACTGTTGGTAGGTGCTGGGTCACCACTGTTGGTGGAGTGCTGGGTCTGCCACTGTTGGTGGGGTGCTGGGTCCTGTTGGTAGGTGCTGGGTCACCACTTTCTTTGGTGGAGTGCTGGGTCACCTCATTTACAGTGGGTGCTGGGTCCACCACTGTTGGTGGGTCTTTCGATTCTCCTGTTGTTGGTGGAGATGCTGGGTCACCACTGTTGGTGGAGTGCACAGGTCACCACTGTTGGTGGGTGCTGGGTCACCTCTGTTTGTGCAGTGAGTGCTGGGTCCTGCCACACTGTTTAGTGGGTGCTGGGTCACCACTGTTGGTAGGTCTTGGGTCACCACTGATGTCTTTCTGGTAGGTGCTGGGTCACCTCTGTTGAGTAGGTGCTGGTCACCACTGTTGGTAGAGTGCTGGGTACCACTGTTGAAGTGAGTGCTGGGTCCACCACTGTTGTGGTAGGTGCTGGGTCTGCCTCTGTTGGTGGTCACCACTGTTGGTGGGTGCTGGGTCACCACTGTTTAAGGTGGTGCTGGGTCACACTGTTGGTAGGTGCTGGGTCACCTCTGTTTGAGTGCTGGGTCACCACTGTTGGTGAGTGCTGGGTCACCACTGTTGGTGGTGCTGGGTCACCACTGTTTGGTAGGTGCTGGGTCCTGCCTCTGTTGGTAGGTGTAGATGCCACTGTTCAATGAGTGCTGGGTCCACCACTGTTGGTGGGTGCTGGGTCACCACTGTTCCAGTGCAGGTGCTGGGTCCTGCCTCTGTTGTGGAGTGCTGGGTCACCACTGTTGGTAGGTGCTGGGTCACCACTGTTGGTGAGTGCTGGGTCCTGCCACTGTTGTGGTTGCGTCACCACTGTTGGTAGAGTCTTTCAGGTCACCACTGTTGGTAGGTGCTGGTCTCTGTTGGTAGGTGCTGGGTCACCACTGTTGGTGGAGTGCTGGGTCTACTATTTGGTAGGTGCTGGGTCACCACTGTTGGTAGGTGCTGGGTCCTGCCACTGTTAGTGGGTCTTTCGTTTCTGCACTGTTGGTGGTGGGTCACCACACTGTTGGTGGAGTGCTAAGGTTACCCTGTTGGTGGGTCTGGGTCTACCACTGGTGTGATGGTGCTGGGTCCTGTTGTTGGAGTCTGGGTCCTGCCACCTGGTAGGTGCTGGGTCCTGTGGAATTAGCACAGGTCACCACTGCTATTTGGTGGCGATTCTTTCTGGGTCACCACTGATGGTAGGTGGGTCTGCCACTGTTTAGTGGAGTGCTAGGTCACCACTGTTGAGGTGGGTGCTGGGTCACCACTGTTGGTAGGTCTGGGTCTGCCACTGTTGGTGGTGCTGGGTCTCTGTTGGTGGAGTGCTGGGTCACCACTATTGTAGGTGCCAGGTCCTGCCACTGTTGGTAACTGGTCCACTGCCACTGTTGGTGGAGATACTGGGTCACCACTATTTGGTGAGTGCTGGGTCACCACTGTTGGTAGGTGCTGGGTTACACCACTGTTGGTGAGTGCTGGGTCACCTCTGTTGGTAGATGGATCACCACTGTTGGTAGGTGCTGGGTCACCCTGTTGGTAGGTGTTGGGTCACCACGTCTGGTGGAACTGGGTCTACCACTGTTGTGAGCCGCTTCAGGTCCTCACCACTGTTGGTAGGTGTTAGGTCACCCTGTTGGTGAGCGCTGGGTCACCACTGTTGGTAGTGCTGGGTCACTGTTGGTAGAGTGCTGAACTGCCTCTGTTGAAGGTGAATCAGTACAGGTCCTACACCACTTTTCTATTTGGTAGGTGCTGGGTGCCTCTGTTGGTAGGCGCTGGGTCACCACTGTTGGCAGGCGCTGGGTCACCTCTGTTGGTAGGTGCTGGATCACCACTGTTGGTAGGTGCTGGGTCACCACTGTTGCTGAGCGCTAGTTTCACCACTGTTGGCAGGCGCTGGGTCACCACTGGGCCCCAGGCAGAGCGCTGGTCCACTGTTGTGGCAGGCGCTGGGTCTACCACTGTTGTGATCACCACTGTTGGCAGGCGCTGGGTCACCTCTGTTGGTAGGTGCTGGGTCTGCCTGTTGGTAGTGCTGGGTCACCACTGCCAGTGGGTGCTGCTGGGTCTACCCTGTTGGTAGGTGGTGGGTCACCACTGTTGGTGAGCCTTCAGGTCTGCCACTGTGTTGGCAGGCGCTGGTCCACTGTTGGTGGTGTTGGGTCACCACTGTTGGCGGGCGCTGGGTCACCACTGTTGGCAGGCGCTGGGTCACCACTGTTGGTAGGCGCTGGGTCACCACTGTTGGCAGGCGCTGGGTCACCACTGTTGTGAGCCGCTGGGTCTGCCACTGTTGGTAGGCGCTGGGTCACCACTGTTGGCGAGCACTCGGTCCCCACTGTTGGTAGGCGCTGGGTCTACCACTGTTGGCAGGCTGGGTCACCTCTGTTGGTAGGTGCTGGGTCACCACTGTTGGTAGGTGCTGGAGTCCTGCCACTGTTCGCAGGCGCTGGTCACCTCTGTTGTGGGTGCTGGGTCTGCCACTGTTTGGTGAGTGCTGGGTCACCCTGTGTTGGGAGGTGCTGGGTCTGCACCACTGTTGGTGGCACTTCAGTGCCCTGTTGGTAAGTGTTAGGTCCTGTTGGCAGGCGCTGGAGTCTGCCTCTGTTGTTAGGTGCTGGGTCACCACTGTTGGGCGTGCTGGGTCACCACTGTTGGTGGGTCTGGGTCACCTCTGTTTGTGGTGAGTGCTGGAGTCACCACTGTGCTGTGAGCGCTGGGTCACCTCTGTTGTTGGTAGGTGCTGGGTCACCACTGTTGGTAGGTGCTGGGTCTCACCACTGTTGTTAGGTGCTGGGTCTACTACACTGTTGGTAGATTAACTGGGTACCTCCTGTTGTGGGTGCTGGGTCACCACTGCTGTTGGCAGTGGGTGCTGGGTCACCACTGTTGGTGGGTGGGTCACTGCCACTGTTGGGCAAACGCGCTGGGTCACCACTGTTGGCAGGCGCTGGGTCACCTCTGTTGGTAGGTGCTAGGTCACCACTGTTGGTAGGTGCTGGGTCACCACTGTTGTGTAGGCTGTGGGTCACCTCTGTTGGTGGAGTGCTGAGTCACCACTGTTGGTAGGTGCTGGGTCACCACACTGTTGGCAGGCGCTAGGTCACCTCTGTTGGTAGGTGCTGGGTCACCACTGTTGTGCACTGTTGGTAGGTGCTGGGTCACCTCTGTTGGTAGGTGCCACTGTTGTGAGCGCTGGGTCACCTCTGTTGGCAGGCTGGGTCACCTCTGTTGGTAGGTGCTGGGTCTGTTGGTAGGTGCTGGGTCACCACTGTTGGTGCTGGGTCACCACTGTTGGTAGTGCTGGGTCACCTCTGTTGGTAGGTGCTGGGTCACCACTGTTGGTAGGTGCTGGGCCACCACTTTTGGTAGGCGCTGGGTCACCACTGTTGGTAGGTGCTGGGTCACCACTGTTGGTAGGCGCTGGGTCACCACTTTTGGCAGGCGCTGGGTCACCAATGTTGTCAGATCACTGTTTGCAAGTTCTGGGTCACCACTGTTGGCTGAGGTTAGGTCATTGCTGGCAGGCGCTAGGTCGCCACTGTTGGCAGAGGTGGCAACCAACACAAAGGTCAGACCCATTAACACCTGGACGATAAGTAAACAACAGAAGACCTGAGCGTTGACCCCGAAAGAGGGGCAGAAGGAGTGGTAGCTGGAGGGAGGAGAAGGAGGTTGATGGGAGAAGGAAGGGGATGAGAGGAATCTTAAGTCAGATGTGAAAGGAGGAACAGAAAGAGAGGGAAGGAAAGGTGGAGAGATACAGAAGAAGGAGAGAGGGGGGATGGAGTAAGGAAGGGGAGGATGTATGTAGGAAAATGAGAGAGAGAGAGAGAGAGAGAGAGAGAGAGAGAGAGAGAGAGAGAGTACTGCTCATGACCACATCCATAACGACACTGTAGTACACGGCAGCCTTCAGGTAATCTGGTGGCTCCCTACACGCCCCCAACAGGAGGTGACGGCAGTGTATGGTGTTGCCTCCTGTAGTGAGAAATGTCCCAGAATTAAACAACTTGACACCTGCCTTACAAACTGACCTCTTTACTCTACGTGTGTGAGTTGTCAGGATTAGGAACCCAGATTATTTACACCTGCTTTAGACTACCTAGTATTAAATGGAGGTGGTTAGGTTAGGTTAGGTTAGGTTAGGTTAGCATTAGGGTGTTTAATCATCACATGAAATAGCTGGGGTTCCTAATCTTCTTAAGAACCAAAATTTGATCTAGGTACTTCCTCTCTTCCTTAAGATTTCTCAGTTCCTTCCAACTTGAGTTTATGAAGTTGATGATCTGTATGTTAAAGAAATAAATCATAGGTAATTGTACCAAGTACCGTCTCATACAGGGAAGTGGTATGGGTTTGGATAGGGAGGTGGTGAGAGTAGGGAGGGGAGGAACTCAAGCTGGACGGGTGAGGGAAGAGGGAGGGAGGTGGTGTAGGCTGGATGGGGATGGTGGAGGGTAGGTAGAGGTAGGAGGAAGAGGAGGAGGAGCAACAGCACTGACATAGATGGAGAGATGTGGTGGTGGTGTTGGGTCGCGGGAGACAGGCGATGAACACAGAGGCGGGGAGGAGCCCTCGCCTCGTGATGTGCATGCGGGGACACACTGCCGATAATGACGACGTCGCCGCCGACGAAGGCCCACCACAGATACGCCATCGCTGTTCCTCTAGCTGCCGCAACACCCCGACGTCTGGTTCACCAGTCGCCGTCAGGTACTCTTGACAGCCGGATCGCACCTGAAGGGGAGTTCATTTCGTGGCGCTCCTGTGGTCATGTGGTGACTTGGTGGTGTTGGTGCGTCCTGGTGGCGGCAGGAAAGAAGATGGAGGAATGAGAGAGAGAAATGAGGAGGGGTAGGGGAGGGAGGGTGAGAGATGGGGGAGGTATGGGGAGAGATGGGGGAGGGTATGGGGGAAGTGGGGAGGGAGGGAGGAAGAGTGATGGGGGGAGGAGTAGGGGGAGAAGATGGGGGAGGGTGGGAGAGTGAAGAGAGATGGGGGAGGAGGTGGAAGAGAGGCGAGAGTGGGATGGAGAGGAGTGAATAAGAGAGCGTGGGGAGGGATGGGAGAAAGAGGATGGAGGAATAGAAAGAGATAAAGGGGAAGGGGCGGGAGAGAGAACGATGGGGAGAGGGTGGGAGAGAAAAGATGGGAGGGCGGGAGAGAGGGCTGAACGTTTCTTTCTCGATATCAGGAGCGACAGTCGGGGGAGGACCTGGCGATAGTTGCATGATTGCTGGTAATGACGCCGCTCACCTGGCTGGGAACAGGTACATATCAGAATCGATTTGAGATACGAGAATATTAGTATTGGCAGGTGTGCATGCCAGGGGTAAAATACCTCTGGTGACGGCTTGACAGAGGGCGAGGGGCGCCATGCACACTGAGAGAGAGAGAGAGAGAGAGAGAGAGAGAGAGAGAGAGAGAGAGAGAGAGAGAGAGGACGACGACTTGGCAAATATCTAAGTGGGTCTTGCATGGTATAATTAAGAAATAGTGGAGATGCCAATAGGTGATGAAGGGTGAGGGTCACAGGCAGACAGGTGGCTCTCATTAACTATGTACTCAAATCACTTCAGATGACACAGGGAGTTTACATGTCAAATTGTTTATTCAATTCAATTTCAATTGTTTATTCCTTGATAGAGGAAGCGGGATCCTAGTGCTGTCACTAGGTACCCCTGTACAATAACACCAGAAGCATCTGGCAAGTGTGACAAGTATATACAGCATAAATATTATAAAGGGGCTTACTAAAGCCTAAGGAAGGAAGGATATTCCTTTAACACATGATCAATGTTATTTACACAATATCTGGCCAGTATGGGGAGGATCATCGTGTCTCCGTCAGGGGGTCGTGGAGTGGTGGTCCAGCAGGCGTCACGGAAGCGTTGTATGTGGGGACATCTTAGGAGGTAGTGGATAAGGGTGCTGCTGTCAGGTCTTCTGCATAATGCACAAGAGCGTTGCTCAGGGGATGCGGGGATACCAATCTCCCTAGCAAAGTCATACCCAATGATGATACGGGCAGCAATCACGTCCCCTTTCCGCGACCCTTTCCCATAGACATACGAGAGGTCAGGAAGTTTACGGAGGACATCGTACCAGGTGGGCGGGGAGTCCAGGGGGATGGCTGCTTCCCGAGCTTCTCTCTGTTTGCGGCGAAAATTGTTTATATGTTTTCATGTGTTTATTCGTGTTAGTGTCTTTAACCCCCTTGAGTACGATGTCTTAAGCCTTTGAGTACGATGTCTTAAGCCCTTGAGTACGATGTCTTAATCTCTTGAGTACGATGACATAATCCTTTAAGTCATCAAGCCCTTGTTTGTGTGGGTATGAACGACCTGAGCTTGGCTAACCTAACCTAACTCAAAGGGTCAAGACATCGTGCTCAAGAGGTCAAGACATCGTACTCAAGTGCTTAAGACATCGTACTCAAGTGCTTAAGATATCGTACTCAAGAGGTTAAGACATCGTACTCAAGTGCTTAAGACATCGTACTCACGGGATTAAGACCTCGTACTCAAGGGCTTAAGACATCGTACTCAAGGGGTTAAGACATCGTACTCAAGGGGTTAAGACATCGTACTCAAGGGGTAATAACGTCATCGGTACTATGTATTATGATATTCCCCGTTATTTAATAATTTTCCCCACATTTTCCCCACATTTTCCCCACATCACTATATCATGTCATTCGTTATGGTACTCTCATATACCTGTCAGCCGTAGCGGTTAGGTCAGTCACGTGATATTAGCGGAAGTGACACATCCAGTCAGGGATTAGTAGAGGTTGTATGGCACGCTCTGGTAATGGCACTTCCCTAGTTACGTGTTAGGGGTAATGATGTCACTTCAGTTATGTGTAATGATGTCACCCCAGTTACGTATAATGATGTCACTTCTAGTTACGTGTTAGGGTAATGATGTCACTTCTAGTTACGTGTTAGGAATGATTTCTAGTTACGTGTTAGGTAATGATGTCACCCCAGTTACGTGTTAGGGGTAATGATACTCCCAGTTACGTAGGGGTAATGCTGTCACTCCCAGTTACGTGTTAGGGTAATGATGTCACTCCTTACGTGTTAGGGTATGATGTCACCCCAGTTACGTGTCAATAGATGAGATATTCCACCATTTATTCAGTAGTATCCCCCACCAACACCCACTTCCCTACAGTACTACCAGAGAGAGAGAGAGATCATGGGTGCCTGGGGAGGGGTGAGGATGGTTGTGGTATCAGTGGCACCTCGCACGTGCCAGTAGAGTGCCGGAAGCCGTGACAATGCCCTACCACCTCTAATACTAAGACTCGCCTTACCGGCTAAGCCTAAAAAACTCACCGCAGAAGTAACCGGAACTGCTTGCTCGGGAAACAGAGAGAGAGAGAGAGAGAGAGAGAGAGAGAGAGAGAGAGAGAGAGAGTACTTAAACATAAAAAGTAAAAAAGATAAAGAAATTCGTAAAAATAATAGAATCAAATACAAAACAGGGTCTAGGACAACTGGCCTCCCCATCTGGGCCGCAGCCCAACTGGCCGCGGAACTGCCAGGCCGACTGGCCGCCATATGGAACTTTTGTTGACAAACCTAACCTAACGTAATCTAACCAACGTAATCTAACCTAACCTAACCTAACCCAACCAACCTAACCTAACCTAACCTAACCTGCAATCCACCCAGTCCGCGTGGTAAGGCTTGTCAGGCGCTTCCTGCGGCCAGTTGGGCTGGCCAGATGGCGGCGGCTGTCCCATTCCCACAAAACACAGACTCCCTTCTTCCCTCAACCTCATCTTACCCTCCCCATCTCCCTCACCTCCCACCTCCCCCTCCTCCCTTCACCCTCTCCCCACCTTCTCACTCACCTCCCTCCCTCACCCCCCACCCACCCCAGATCAAGAACCCCGTCACTAACAAGATCATTATAACTCACCATCAACATTTCATCTCAAATTCTTAATCACTAACTTCCGGTAGTCAGAACTGAGCATAAAGACCATCTTCCCCCGAGCCAGTCAGTCCATAGAAAAACCCATAGAGACAGTTTTATCCCATAGACTGTAAAGAAGTAACTGGTACCTATAATAAACAGTTAATAAAGATAGATTGTAGTAGATAATTGGGTTTTGTTAGGGCTGATGTGTTTATAGTAAGTATGTTTCAGGTGTGGTGCAGGTATATACAACAGGTGTTAATTATTTGTTGTTTTGAGGAAGATAAGTGTCTTTCATCAGTGGGCTAGGCTGAATTATGAGTTATGGTGGTTGTAGTTGTGTGGGGATGATAGCAATGGTTGTAGTGATGATGATGATGATGATGATGATGTGATGATGATGATGATGATGATGATGATGATGATGGTGAAAAAAAACAGCGTTAGGTAAGATTAGATTGCTAGGTATAGGCTTGGGTTAGGAAGTAGGCTAGGTATAGGCTTAAGTTAGGGTTAGTGTTAGTGTTTGGTTAGATTGTGTTTTCCTATTATTATATGTCTGTCTTTCCTGTGTGTCTGGTTGTTAGATAAACGAGGCGCGCGTGTATGTGTGTGTGTGTGTGTGTTTTCGGTTTTGCATTAAAATTGTGTATACATGCTTTTTATTAGTGTATTATATACATATATACATACATACTACATACATACATACATACATACATACACATACATCTGTTTGTTTACATGTGTAGAAGGTCTCTGACAGTCGTGTGAAGGAGGGTAAGTGATATTCAGTACCAACACTTACTCCTCCTCCTCCTTACTCCTCCTCCCTCATTTCTCCTCCCCCACTCCCCCTCCCTCCTTCTCCTCCTCCTCACTCCCTCCTCCCTCCCCTCCTCCTCCCTCCCCACTCTCCTCCCTCCCTACTCCTCTTCCTCTCCCTTATCCCCCTCCCCTCCTCCTCCCTCCCCACCTCTTCCTCTCTCCCCACCTTCCTCTCTCATCCTCCTCCCTCCCTTTCTCCTCCCTCTCCTCCTCATCCTCCTCCTCCTTCTCCCTCCCTCCCTTACTCCTCCTCCCTATCCTCCACTCTTCCTCCCCCCCTCCCTCCTCCCACTCCTCCCCCCTCACTCCTCCTCCCTCCCTCCTCCCCCTCACCCCCTTTCCTCCCCCTCCTCTTCCCTCTCCTCACTCCTCTTCCCTCCCTTACTCCCTCCCTCCCTTACCTCTCCTCCTCTCCCTCTCCTTCCCTCCCCTTCCTCCCACCTCCCTCTCCTCCCCACCTCCTCCCCCCACTCCTCCTCCTCCCTTCCCTCCTCCCTTACTCCCACCCACCTGTTCACTCCTCCATCCACTTCCCTCCTCATCTCCCCATCCACGCTATTCCCACCCCCTCCATCCACGTCCTCCTCATCTCCCCTCCATCCACACTTCACCCTCCCCATCCACGTCCCTCCCCATCTCCCCTCCACACTTCCCTCCCCCTCCATCCATCCTCCCCTCCTCATCTCCCCTCCATCCACGTCACCACCCTCCCTTCATCCACGTCCCTCCTCCCTCATCTCCTCCCATCCACGTCCTCCCTTCCTCACTCCTCCATCCACGTCCCTCCCTCATCTCCTCCATCCACGTTTCCTCCCTCCTCACTGCCAGTACCTCCAGCACCTCCACAGTATTTGACTCTCAGCACGCGCGTGGATCTGTCCACGTCCGTCGCTAGAGGAATGGATCGTATTTTTCTACGTTTCCGTGACAGGAGAACACGTTCGGATATCCTTCACTGATTTTTTTTAAGGAGGGGGGGAGGGGTCAAGGGGGGCTGGCGGGGGCAGGGGGAGGGGTGACTGGGGAGGGTGGTGGTGGAGGATGGCGGGGCAGGGGTTTGTATGGTCGAGAAAGTTGTATATCATTAGTGATTCCTGAAGTCTTTTAGAAATTAATGTTGATGGAATAGTTAGGTGGGTTGTGTTTGGTGTTTACAAGTGTATAAGCAACAAGAGGTGTGAATACTCTGAACTCTCTCACCTCTTAAAGCTAATAGCACTAAGAATACTATATGCCCTAGTGGCTAATGGTAGGAGACGAGACAGAGCCGCTGGTGTGACTGTAAACACGTGCCCTCTACCCTAGCCACAATTAGCATTCTGAAACACAACACACACACCCAACCCATTTTTAAGAAGGCCAGAGAACCACTCGCTGTCTCAAGGATCACCAACACAGATATCACTTGGTTACGAGACCTCAGAGAGTGTAACTTTCTTTTGTTTGGTTTGGTTGAGAACAGTTTTGTGGTTCTGGTTGGGTTGTATTCAGTGGTTGAGAGTTAACATGTTGATTTTATAGGTGTTGGGGGTTAACATTTTAATTTTATAAGTGTTTAGTGTTAATATGTAAATTTCGTAAGTTCTAGGGTTAATATGCTAATATTATAAATATAAGCTGTTATGTTAATATAAATTTCAAGAGTTAAAATAAAATACTATGAACTCTAGTGTTAACATTTTAATATTGCAAGATTCATATCATATTCAAGAGTACATATTTTTAAACATGATGTGAGTCTTAAAGAATCATGTTAATAAGTACCTTGTGTTAAAATATTGATAAAGTACCTAATATAACAATGTTAATATTATGTTACAATGTTAATCTGGGTGGTAGGTGTGCGTGAGGTGAACAATATATACCCCAGGTAAATCATATTCTGGTACAGGTATAATAAGCGAGGCTCATATAGCGATAATTAATGCACCTTGTCGAGTGTCTGTCGGTGTACATGTTGCCTCTCCATCAACCCAACCTGAGCTGATGGCTTAATCAGGTATACATACATACATACGTACATACATACATACATACATACATACATACATACACACACATACATACATACATACATACATAGAGGATTAATTTAACCTGGGAACTACGAGCTGATTGGTTGGACATGAATATTTAATGATGGGTATAGGATAGATTAGTTAGGTTAGGAAGTTAGGAGGTTAGCTTAGGAAGTAGTTACAGTTAGGTTAGGAGTATAGGTTAGGCTAGGAAGTTGGGTTAGGTTAGGCTAGGTTAGGGTTTAGAGTTAGGTTGTGTTTTGGGTCGCCGTAAATAGTCGATAGAAATCCTCAATCCTAACCTTCCGCTTGATGGTGATTGACAAAGTTGATTCCCAAAGGTATTAAACAGACGGACTACTGTTGTTGGTGTGAAGGGAGACG